TTCAAAAAGGTGGAAACTATCTTCCAAAATTGTATCCAACTAAATATTTCGTTTAACACGCACATTTCCATAAATACCTTATTTAATTTAACGTATCACTAAAATTGAATTCAATGGTTTTAAGAGTTTTCTTTTCCACGAAAATGTTTTTCAATCTTTAAATTAATAAGTCTGAAAGCTGATTTCCGAACGCTTTATAAAATAATCAAACCAGTCAATAGTATTAATATTCATTCCCAATATTATGTTATTAGCAACATTTTACCCGCAACATGTTGCTCGCCATATAAATGTTGCAGGTTTTCATGAGAACGACTGCGAGAAGCCGAAAAATAAATGAAAAATCGCTCTCTACTACGACCGGCAATGGTCAACTCAAAAAATGAATAAAATTAAAAGCAACACAAACGATAAATACAAAAAAAAATATCTAAATAAACATTAATGAGAGGTTGGAGATAACAACACAACACGCAAACGAGCAAACAGAGACCAAAAGAAGACGCTGAAGCAACTACAAATGTGCTCTGATTGATCAATTCTCGCGATCAGCTACGTTGCCGGTGGGCCAATTCGCGCTTTGCCGTCGTCGTTGGTGTCGTCTCCATTTCGATTTGTACACTTTTTCTCACTCCTATTTTTTGCCTTACGCTTTTCAGTGGAATTGATTTGATGGGTGATATAAAAGCGTACGATCGCTGCGAACGGCTAACCATAAGACGCCTGCAAGTCTAGCTGACTGGACACGAGCGACGAGAGTGGATATTGGATTTACATTGTCTGTCTTCGACGCATTGAAACGAGTCTTGGCGTAAAATTTGAAAACATTTGCAAATTGGTGAAAACATTTGAGAAAATAAAAATAGAATTTTAATTAAAATTTTTTTAAATTGAAATTAAGGTGTAAAGCAAAAAAATTTAATAAAATTTAGTGCGGTAAATATTAAAAAGTCGAAGCAGCAAAAGAAAATTAAATAATATATACCTTTGTCTTTAAATGTGAAGAAAAAAGTTATATAGGACAAAGTGCAAGATTTTTGTAGTTCGGACTCAAAAAAAAAAAGAAAAAAAAATTTAAAAATAAAAAAAAGCTCCGTAGAAGTGTACAAAGTCAGCAGCGTAGCAAGTGTGCAACAACGGGACGTGTGGTTAAAAGAGCAAAAGTGTTTTGCAACCAGTGGATTAAGCAACAAAATTTTAATTAAAAGAAAAGTTTTTGCAGTAAGAAACTGACATATAATGGAAATAATGCCGCAAAGATACTTACTGCAAGCAGCTCTGGTGCTTGTATACTGCAGCGTAGCTTTGGCGTGTCGCGGACAACTGTTGGGTAAGCGAGAAAAAACTTAGTAAAGAAGAAAAAAGTGTTAAAAACTAGTAATCAATTATTAGGTTGTAAATCAAAATAGGTATTTGTGGCTACCAACTGTTTTAAATTTTTATTTTCATGATCCAAAAATCTGAGTATAGCGGGAACATTTTTTTCTCTCAAGTTTTTAAAATGCACCGTTTTTTGCCATATATTTGCTTTGTATGCTATTTTCAACAAACTTAGGCCAAAATACCATAAATTTTCAAAATTTGGAGAAACAAAATTTGGCCGCTATACTCAGATTTTTGGATCACGAAAACTTTTTTCGTGAGAACATGAACTGAGCTAGGAAATCTGAGTATGAGGCCTTATTCGCATAGCCAACAGCTATTAAAACTTGATATATGAGCACTCCAGGTTTTTTGTGTTCCACAGTGTTACCAAAGTATTGCAAATTTAAAAAAAAATTAATTTATAATCAAACAAGTAAATTTTTTTTTGTCGCAATTGTTTTGAGCGCATTAAGATATATATAAAAAAAAATTTAGCAGATATACCTACACACATGTTTGTGAAGAAAACAATTTCTTTTTTTCTTGTCTTTTATTACTGTGATTAAACAGAATTTAAATTAGATATTAAAACGTTCAGTTTAAAACGCTAGTTTTGCGTGTCGGATATTTATGATTATTGAAATGTTTAAAATCAATTTGAAGCAAACTTGAGCTCAACAAAAATAGGATTTTATGAGAAAACCTGAAACATTAAAATAAACCATATTCATAAATGAATTGCGTTAACATGCAAATAAAATTGTTTTATCTATTAGAAAAACCACACACACACATAACTTTATGTAGCTAAACATTTGCTAATATTAACCGGTGCCAAAAACGTACCATTTTTTGCTGCTATATGACACTTTTTAATTTAAAATTAAGCTCTCAATATACAGAACAGGTTTAAATTGAAGTGAGATCTAAAATATATGCCTTCGTTTGCCAACTTTTGAATATTTATTCTTTTGCATACTAATAATTAGCAATAAAAAGTAGTAGGGCGCAAATAACTTTTATGGTTTTGGCCTAAGTTAGCCTATAATTTAAACTGATGAATATGTATCTTCGCTTCGATCTTCTGCTCCATCCAGTGCCATTTGGTATTCTTTACGCCCAAGTAGTTGGAAGACTTGTTACCTTTTTTGATTTGCTCTTTTTCGACTTCCTAATTTTTCGACTTTTTTATTTCTTTTGCATAAATTAGCTTATTTTTATGTAGCTTTTGTCGAATACATATAACTGGGAGTGTTGACTTTTTCAATTTAGCTTTCATTTCGCTAACAAGTCGTATTCAATAATACATCTGGGCTCACAATCACAAGGCGATTAGATCGATTATTTTGCTTGTGTGAAAAATAAATATGTATAAACATACCCAGTATACACACAGACAAATTAATCTGTTATTATGAAATAATCTCTACTTAAACCGATATGCTTTCGGTGTCCAACCTATTTTTATCGACTATTTTTGCGAAGAAGAGAAATGTCAAATGCGAAAGTAAAAAAATATAGACGCTACCTAGGTTTGTAAAAGTATTTTTAATAAAACACTTAGTTAAATTATATTTTAATTGCTTGGCATAGCCGAAATTAAATAAAAGCTTGTAAAAGGTGATCACAATGGCACAGAGAAGAATGGGTCTAAACCAGAAACTGGGGCTGGCTAGTTTTGGTGTCACCATCTTTCAAGCGGAGATTCATTCAAGAAGAAAATTCATTAAAAGAGGTACATTCTCGAAATATATCTGCATTATGTCGGACAGCAGACAGCCCTACTGGCATTGAAGTCCTACAAAATAAATTCTAAACCAGTATATGAATGCTTCAATGTCCTAAGTGCTCTTAAAGCCAAGAACGCAGTCTTATGGGCACTGAGTGGGATATCCAGTGTAGTCCTTCAAAGTAAGCTTCAAAGAAACTATGTACCTAATTTAGGCAAGGAGGACATCAAAATTCTTACTGGTTACTACAGCAGACACTGATCCCTTCGTTATCACTTTCGTTAACATTAACATTTCAGATACAGACGTTTTTTCGCATTCGCCAGCTCGCCGAAGAAACGCCAGAACACATTCGAGCGGTATGCAATTTTAAGAAAAAGAAATTGCTTAAATTTTATTTATAAGGCTCATTCTCTGTGAATATAACGGTCCTGCTAGGCACAGACTAGCTCATTTTAATTCCTTTGAAATTTTGAAAAAAATTTCCCTTAAAGCGAGTGCTGGGCAATATATATTAAAGGCCTTGCCATATAGGGCGCTGGGTCATGTATAATATATCATAGCTTGAAAAAGTGGAATTTCTGAGTGTATTCACAGTACTACATATGTATCTATGGTATCTTTTTTAGGTCAAAAAACTATAAGCCGGTGACTGCGATAAAGTTCGGTTTTGACACAGTTTTTCAATAAAATAAAAAAGTTCCTGGTACTATGTGTAGCACTTGTATACGCCGAGACAATATTATATGTCTCACATAAGCAAAGGGAATCCAAATTTCTAACTTTTTTTTTACAAGAATTAGAAAAATTCAACAAAGTCGCATAACGACAGTTTTCTAGTTTGAAGTTTCTACAAAGTACAGCTGATTTTTGAATTTTTTTCAGCTGACGGCGACACGCATTTTCTTCCGCACAAAGTTACTATATTCGACAATTTGTTTTATATGGAAGAACATAATAACACCGTTGCAAAAAAAATTAAAAAAATCCAACGCGAATTCTTAGGCTCCTTAAACTTACAACTTATTATTATTTAATGGGCAGAAAAACAGCATATTTAGAATTGTTCTAAAAATTGTGAATAAAATGTTTGTCGTGTATTTTTTTTTAATTTTTCTACAAAGATTAAAATGTGAAATAATAAGCTATTAAATATTAACTATTATTATTAATTAGCTAATTAATTAATGCACATTAAACAAAAAAAAAAAAAAAAATAGTCAACACTGGTCAAAAATTTCGTGTCTCTATTTTTTCTCATGGCAGAAAATATATGCATTTTATGTCGTATTGCCAATAACAATTCATTGTGAGCTTATATATGAAGGGGTTAGAATCAAGAGGATCTAAGTAGTTCTGAAATTTTTTTTAGATAAGTAAGGTTAAAGTTGATTACTTATTGTAAATTCTGGATAAATGCATTTGGAATGATTCTTGCCTAAATGAATGGCAGGTTAATTAACTAATTTAAATGAATGTTACTCTTTGTGACCAGAAGTGTAAATTTTTTTTATCAAAACCTAATCAAGTTAGAAGGACGAGATTCGAGGATGTGGCAGTTTACATATTAGTCCTTAACATATATTTTTTTCAAAAATAAATATTGGAAATTTCCAAGGATATTCAAAGATATAGTTTTAAAAGGACATTTGCAACATTTATTCGTCCTAAAGAAACAAAAGGTTTTTTTTTTGTAAATTCTACAGAATTTTTCCTTTTAACTGAAACCCATATTGTTACTCTACAATGCACCAAAACTTAAAATTTTTTTTTTATTCAATCATATCCTGCAAATTTCAAAGTCCTTTAAAAAAATTCCGCCGTCAGAGAGAAAAATTAAGAACGCAATTATACTATATTTGGCGCCTAGTTTTGTGAATACATGGATTTTTTCATGTATTTTAAAAATTTTTGGTTTTTGTCACACGGTGTAATTTATACTATTTTTGTGATCCAAAAAAAAGTATTATTCCGTAAAAGAAATAAAGATGCCAGCGTTGTGTATACTTAAAAGCTTTGTTGATACATACATACATATGTATGTATATTTAATGTACATTTCTTCGCCTCAGGAATCCAGTAGATGTACAAGGTCAACAGTGGATTAGTGGACCCAACACACATAATTCATTAGTTTTTAATCGATAAAAAAAAAATTCACATACGCCAGTTTGTCGCGTCGCTTCTAGATTCTGTTTTGGCTCAATTTTTTACCATAAAAAGAACTTATTTTATATGTCACTGGCATATTCGCTAAAAGCAAAACCCAAAAACATTAATATTCTTTACCCACACTTGGGGCGCAAATATCAAATTGATTTGGGTTTGGATCAATTCATTCGGCTAAATACTTATCAGATTACTTGCGATTTCTAGCAGCAGATGTGCTCGTATTTGGTATAGCTTTATTTTTTGTCTGCTCAGCATTCAGAAACGCTACTTGATGGATTTAAGTTCATCAATTCTAATATGTTTAAATTCAACATTCACTCACGTTTTAGCAGTGTGGCATGCTTCTGTTGCATATCAATTAATTTCTATGAGAATGAAGTTCTTAAAAGATAATATTTAACAAAGGTAAGAATTTAATTAATAAAGCACAGCTTGTAAATGTATTCTTTTGTGCCACATAGACATTCGAATACTGTATTGGGAATACATATACATATATATCTACTTAAGTATGTATACTCGTAATAAAGATTATTTGAATAAACATAAAGTTTATTGACTTAACATGTAAACAACACTTGCTTTTTGGCTATCAAAGTAATATTTACGTTTATTACTTTTTTATTGAGTCGTTTCATATAATTATGCAGGCAAAGCCACGAGCTTACTTAAAAAAAAAATACGGTCTACGTCAAGATAACCGGTTTTGTCAAACTCTACGCACTAATAGTTTAGTAAACGTTGCTAATAAACCAAAATCCCTAGTAAATCAGCTATTCAGTTTCTTATTTAAGCAAGTAATCCACGCGTCATTTATTCGGTCGTATTTATGCAGTTATTATGGTTGACAAATTCTAAAGATTTCTTTTCTTCTCTCTATAAGCACTCGTACATGTCATGAAAAGTGTCATTTAGTCTGTGGTTCAAGGTGTTCAGTTGGTTAACTTCGAGTTAAGATCAATGAATGAAATCATCATGGCAAAAATACATTTCTCAGGATAGACAAAAGAATTCAAGTTTCTACCCAAATTCGACAGAAAATATAACTCATTAAAATTAATCA